GGAGAAAGAGAAAAGCCTCCGGTGGGTTTCTGCTCTGACTTGTACCTGCCCAATTGATTGAAAGAACTCAACGCAACAGCGCGACACGATCAAGCAAAGCAGTTATCAGGCATTGGAATGGGCTGCCCGGGGAGGCGGTGGTTGCACCATCCCTGCAGGTTTTCAAAATTAGACTGGATGTGGCACTTAGTGCCATGGTCTAGTAACCACAGTAGGGATGGACTCGATGATCTTGGAGGTCTCTTTCAACCCGGCTGATTTTATGATTCTATGATTAATGCCGGCGCTGGGTGCGTGGGGATCTCACCTTCTAACACCACACCCGACTCCAAATGGGACAGTTTTTGTTCTCACAAGTCATGCATAGTCATTAGATCCCAAGGAACTCATGCATATATGCTAATGGTTTCTTAGAAGTCATTGTAACATCCCTACTCTCCTTGCTCTGCACAGTTCATTGAGGTGATGGTCATCGAGGGTCCCCTGCGACCTCAGTGGTTGTTTCATAGTCTTCATCGCTTGTCTGTTAGATGACCTGTCCTGTTGGGTGCCTGCACACCTTCTGGGCATCTTTCCAAACCTTGGGGCAGGTTCTAACAGGTGTTGGTGCTTCAATTCCTCCGAGGAATGTCCTATCAGTCTCTTTTGGCCTTGCACTTCTTTTCACTTCACAGAGACACTGAGGGTCGCAATAGATCTTCACTTGTGCAGACTTTGCAAATTCCTAAGAGCTTCATTTTTTTTTGCAAAAGTAGCAGACAGGCCTTGAGCAGAAACTTAGTTATAACTGTGGTCAAAAGCCTGGCTGTCATCAGTTACAAATATAGTTACAAATATGAGTATCTACCCCAGCTCCTGATTCAAAGTTATTAGTCATAGGTTTTAAGTTTACCCTTTCAATACTGACCTAGAGTGACAGGTCTTGTCCCTTGGAAATCTCTCAGACTAGGGGAAGAAAAAAGAAACCTCCCATAGAGTTTCTGGTCTGACTTGCGCCTGCCCACCTGTCTCATCCTTTGTGACCCTCATCAGGTCAAACAATGATGTAGGTTGTTGCCTTCAAACATTTTGGAGGGTAAGAAGTTGCAGTTGCTGCAGCTTACAGGCTTGCTTTTTGCCTGATGTCTCCTGTTTTCCCTGTCCCTCTCCCATGCTTCATCACTTTTCTCAGTTGTGCTAGTCACCAAAAAACAAACCCACTGTGGATTCTGCCTTAGCTAGGTGACATAAAGGCTGGTTTTGTGCTCAGCAAGTAGATTGCTCCTGTATTGTCACCTCAGTGTTTGGGAACTGTTTCAGAAAAGGACAAATGTAAAGGCAAATTTTTACAAGAGTGTTGTATAACTATGTCTTGACAAATGCAGAAAGGTGAAAAAGACCAAAGCATTTAGAGTTCTCTTTGTTATTAAGTCTTAGAGATATTATTTTTTTTTCCAGGTTTAAAATGTCCTGATAGACACTGCACTGAAAGTATAGGGAATGCAGATAGTACAGCAGACACACTGAGGCATTCAAGCTGGCTGATTTCAGAGGCAAAAGACTGTCATATTTGTGATCACATTCTTTTATGTTGGCATAATGTACAAGGAAAGCAAGGGCTCTTCAAGAAGGCGTGACATGCATAAGCACTTTTAACCCCTTATCTTCACAGTTGCTCTGTCACAGTGAGGCAAGTCTCAGCAGCCTTCTGGTTTAGTGGGAAGAGTTTGTTCTAGGAACTTGATCTTTAAGAAGATACATCAGGATTTAAACAGCTTATTGGAAGGTGAAGCATGTGCCTCTTGCATAGTTATATTCATTTTCCTCTTAATTGTCTCCGTCTTCTATTCTAGACAATGATTCCTTTCCAGCAGAAGATTTTGAACTTGGTCAAGTGTTTCCGAAGACAATGGTCTTTATTTTCAAACTCTGAAAGGACTACTGTGTCTGGAGCAGACTGCATGCTGATGGCCTTGCAACTGTCCATGGCTGAAGTCAACAAGCAGGTTAGCATTCTTTTCAGTATCTTCTTGGGACTTAGTACATCTCAAACTGAGTTCACTTGCTGCTTAAGCACCAACTTGAAATGGCTGTTTTGGTCACTTCATTGCTGTTTGTTCAAACTGGGTGCACCTGAGGATCAGGTGCAACAAGGCACTAAAATTAACATGATGAAGTACACGGTAGAATCAGGGCTTAGAAAAAAACAACTGCAAGACAGAGGGAGAGTGGTGGTTTTGTTGTTTGTTTATTTTTCTTTTAATACAGTTTTAAGTGTACATTTGAGTCTCAAGCTTTAATGTGAAACACCAGTGTATTTTTTGCTGATCATGTAACTTCTCTTTATTTCCATCAAATGTTTCTTCTGGGCTGTAGATCAGGGTAGGAGAATTATGGCACTTCGGATGCATCTTTTTCCTTAGTGCTCCAAACATTCTTTGGAATGAGATGAGAAGTATATGAGTATAGAACTGATTTGTTATAGGCTGCATGAGTTGTACTTGCAACAGTCTGTTCTTGGCTGCTATTTTTCCTGACACTCATCAGATGAATCATAGAATCATAGAATCAATCAAGTTGGAAAAGACCTCCAAGATCATCAAGTCCAACCCTACCGTGGTTACTAGACCATGGCACCAAGTGCCACATCCAGTCTCATCTGGAAAACCTCCAGGGTCAGTGAATCCACAACCTCCCTGGGCAGCCCGTTCCAATGCCTGATCACTCTCTCCTTAAAAAATCTCTTCCTAATATCCAACCTACACCTCCCCTGGCAGAGCTTGAGTCTGAAGACCTGTATGTACATGTGAGTTGTGAATGTGCACCCAGTACCAGTAGGAATTATGGGGCTTTCTTTGCATGTGTACAAGAAGTGTCTGTCAAATGATGAAGAGGATGCGTAACTCTAAAGTGTCTCTGAAAGAAGCACTTTGGCTTGTCAAAGCTGGATGATTGGGAATTACCAGTCATCCAAACTGTGTGAGAAACAGTTGCCACATACAGTTAGGCCTTTGTATGTGTCTCATCTAGTAAGAGCTATGGCGATAGTCACTTTGATAAGCTAAAGTACCTTTTTAGGTCAATGTAGCATGAGGCAGTTCACCTCCTGACTCTGCTCCTGTTTGTCCATTTATACCTCATACACTGATGGGACAAGTGCTTTTGGCACCAGGGGGACCTATCTTCTGCTTCCTGCTCATCATGTACCAGTTCAGGGCTGTTTGTTCACCTCTGTGCATTAGGACCTGGGCTGATGCTCCCAGAGTCCCTTTGCCCTGTGACCTGGCAATCCTGGAATAGGATTCACATTAGATGTTAGGAAAAATTTCTTCACTGTTAGGGTGGTCAGGCTGGGAAATAGGTTGCCCAGGGAGGTGGTAGAGTCACCACGGTTATGGTTTGGGGGTTACAGCAGTGACCGGTTAATGATTGGACTAGGTGACCTTAGAAGTCTATTCTGTCCTTGATGTCTGTGATTCTACTGATGAAAACAAATGACTGTTGTTGGAAGTCTTAGCCAAATGTTGCATAGTAAACTAAACATATAGTACAAATCTTTAGCTTCTTTAAAAAAACCTCAACAAATCAAACCAAAAACCATACCCCCAACCAACCAAACCATGCCAAATCAAATCCAAGTGAGATCCCCAAACCAATAAAAACCACAAACAAACAGAAAACCTGCTTCAGTTTGTGCATTCCTAGTTGCAACATATTATTTAAAGAGTTACCACTTGTCTTGGAAGAAGATTGTCTCAGCTGAAATATTTCCAGAGCCTCTTTTTAACTTAACTGAGTTCATCACCAGACAAAGCTTTGTAGTTTAAAACGTGCAAGATAGGAGTTTCTCTTGTTTAAGCATTAAGTGTAAAACTGGTCAAGTCATCCTCACATTAAAAGGTGTTACAGGGGAAATACTAGAATTAGAAGATTGTAATGGAACACAAGATTGTAATGGAACAAAATAGCCAGGTTCCCAGTGATCTCACAACACCCATGTAGGTAAAATTAGAAGAATGATTGTGCATCAAAATGAACTCTTTGGCAACTGATAAATGACAATAACAGAGCAGTACCTATGGAGGCATTCATGGTTTGTCATGCATGCTGTGTTTCTCAAGGGAAAACTACCAACATTCTTCCAAAGCAAATTCTGGGAACTCAAGTTTGTTGTGCTGTCAGATGCCAAAAGTTACAGACATGATAAAGATGATATTGCTATTGGCAGTGTTCAAAGCCAGATTGGATGGAGGCTTGAGCAACCTGCTCTGGTGGGAGGTGTCTCTGCCCAGGGCAGGAGGTTGGGGCTGGATCATCTCTAATATCCATTCCAACCCCTAAAAGTCTCTGATTCTCTGAAGTGGGGCTTGGTACACAGATCAAGGAGCAGGGTGTGGAGGAAAATGAGGAGTCTAGCTGTGAATGAGAAGGTGGTAAGAGCAAGTAGTTGGAGGAGAAGGGGCACGTGGGACATAGTCTAATCTCCCCAGGCAGAGTGGGCCAGAAGCTGGATATGAAAGCACAGTCTGGACTGCGTAGTTAATGCTAGTTCTGGTATTAGTAACAGATGTGTGTGCATTTCTTTGATGTACTTATTAGAACTATGTTGTGATACTGCCAATGTTATGCTGAAGTATAACTCTACCAACACAGGGAAAACCAGCTCTTTTCTTTTGACATGTGTTTTCCCAGATTACTGCTTGAAGCAAGGTAAGGGAGCTATATTTAATGCGTTTGGGAAGGAAATGCCTGCCCTGCTAGAAACTATTTCTGTAAAGAAAGAACTTTATGCAAGCAATAGTACTTCAGCAGTGCCTTTTCTTAGGAGTCAAGTTCAATAACTGGTGCTTTAAGGATCAATAGCAAATACAGCGTGTAACAAAACTCAATTGTAAATGCAAAGCTGGGGAAGGACTTCAACTATAAGAAAGACTTTGTTATAAACTTAGATTATAATAGTTTTCCAAATATATATATATATATGCAGTTTTTAAAATGTATTTTTAAAGCTAAGCTGAATACAAACCAGTATTTTTGGCTTTTTTTTCCCATTCTATTAGCACTGCGGAGACTTCACAATATCCCTTAGTGATGTGTTGGAAACGTGGAACTATTTGTTACATGACAAACTGGGATTATCATATGAAAACATGAAAGAACCTGAAAATTATGCTGATGTAAAAGAAGCCTATCATGCCTTCTTGGAAAGGAGCAACATGTTAGATCTAATAGACATCCATCAGAAGCACCGTAGTCTTGAACCTGAAGATGAAAGCATAGCCCCTGTAAGTATTGTGTTTGTTTGATCTCTGATATTGTTTTGGCATATTTTTGGTTCCAGTTATGGATTTATGACACTTCTAAATATAAATAGGAGCTCTGAATTATTCACAAGTTTTTTCATTCTTCTGTTGGGGAAACACTTAAGTTTAAATTACTGTTTTAAAGAGATCTTAATCACTTCCCTCTGTTGTCCTGGCTGGGTGTGTCCCACAACTCCTCCAGGAACAGATCACTCCTTGCCATAAATGGAACTGAAAAATGAACTGTGGAGATTTATAAAACTGGAACAAAAATTAGTAATTAACACACATCATGGAGTTTCAGTCGTATCTTGATATGCAGCCAAAATACTTTTACCATTTTGAAAATTCTCTTTAAGCCAAAATTTCTGCGTGTTACGTGTAGTTCCATGTTAGATTCCTTCCCAAACCAGAAGAGGTTCCACTTCAGCTGCTCAGTCACAGCTCTGTTGCAGTTTGTGGCAGCTCAGGAGTCCTTGGGGCACTGCATGTGAGGCTGTAATCTAGGCTAGAGAAGTTCTGGTATATGTTCCTCTCTTAGACTACAGAAGTGTGAATAATGAACTTGTTTAATCTCTGTTATTGGACAAAACTATATGCCACTGTGATAAGTTTGAAACATAAGCATTGCACATGCTGATTTGGACTGAAGTAGAGTCAACTTTTTTCCCAATGACTAGTATGGGGCTGTGTTTAGGATTTGTGCAGGACACAGGGTTGATAATGCAGAGATGTTTTTGTTGCTGCTGAGCAGAGCTCACACAGAGTCAAGGCCTTTGTTGCTTTCCATACTGCCACACTGGCAAGGAAGTTGGGAGTGCATGGGAGACTGGGAGGAGACACAGCTGGGATGGGACAGGTAAACTGACCAAAGGGATATTCCATACCCTTGTTGGGGAAGATGGAGGAAGGGGGAGATATTTGAAGTGATGGTACCTGCTCTCCTGGAGGGGCTGAACACCTCCTGCCCATGGGAAGCAGTCAATGAATTCCTTGTTTTGCTTTGCTTGTGTGTGCAGCTGTTGCTTTCCCTATTAATCTCTTTGTCTCAACCCATGAGTTTTTCTAGCTTTTACCCTTCAAATTCTCTCCCCCACCCTGTTGGTAGGGGGTGTGGGAGTGGCTGAGTCGTTCTTGGGTGCTAACTGGGGTTAAACCAGGACAGCTCTCTGGAACATGGAAAGGTCAAAAGACAAAGGATATGGCAGAAAAAAAAAAAAAAAAAAGGCAAAAAACTTGGATTTAGATGCAAATGCTTCATGTTGTAAGGGAAATTAGGGAAGAGTTTTCTTTTACTGATCACTCTCAGCATTGCAGACTGAAATTACTGTTCATGTCTTCATCTGAAGTTGATGTATATTTAATTAGATGGTAATTTTAATATTAGCCAACTTATATCAGTAGCTGAACATTAATTGAACTGAGGTATATTATGGACACACAATAAATTAGTAGTTACATCATGATTAAAACTATTTACCTTCCAGCCCTTGTAAGAGTAAAAAGCTTTGTCAATAAAAAAGCGATCACATCCTCAAACAAGTTGCCCAGAGAGGATATGGAATCTCATCTTGGGAGTCACTGAGTAACCTGGTTGAACTGCTTCAAGCATAGATTTTTACTAGATGATCTCTATAGGTGCCTTTTAACCTAAATTATTGTCTGGTTCTATGACAAGTATCCTTGTATCCAGCTTGTCTAATTCCTTAAAGGTTAGGAGAACCTGCTCTCAAATACTCACGTGGTTGTTAGGCACACCAGAGTTGTCAGGAGAACTGAGGTACAGGAAGGGCATGGAATCTGCCTTGGGGTTTTGGTTTGGTTTTGTTTGGGTTTTTGGATGTGGTTTGTTTCCTCCCTGTTTTCATGGGGAAGGTAGAGAACTTGAGTGGGTTACTGAGCTCTTCCTAATCATGGCATAATGTATTAAATGTTCTCCAAAGCATAAGCAGCTGCATTTAGTGCAAGTGTATTGCACAACCGTGTGAGATCTTTTCTAAATTAACTTGTATCTAACACCTCATTTTTCTACTCAAACAGTTGTGCTTTTAAAGACTAAAACCAGAAGCAGGTTTTAAGGACTGTATTAACCTCAAACACAGGCAAACTGGCAGAGATGTAGGTTTATACCAGATTTTACTACCACTTTTGCTTTCTAATCACCTGCAAACTAAAGTTTATTCTGATCTTTTTATTAAAGGTTCAACTCTTGGAATTTATTTCTGGCATAATGAATGTACAAGAAAATAATGGTTCTGTTCTTTCTACACCTTCTACACCGGGGAACAGACAGGGCCAGGGGAATGTGGAGGTAAAAGTTATTTCTGTCTCTTTTGGAATGTTCTGTGTATTTTGAAAAGATGAAACATAACATAGTTTCTTTTTCCAATTATTGGTATCCAAATGTGGCTGGTTAAAAAAACTAAGCTTGCATGGTCTAATTCTGTGTCACTGGAGTATATTCATAGAATCATGGAATTTAAGGGTTGGAATGGACCTTACAGATCATTTGGTCCTAACCCCCTGCCCTGGGCAGGGAAACTTCCTCACTAGATTAGGTTCCTCAAGGCTTCATCCAGCCTGGCCTTGAACACCACCAGGGTCAGGGCAGCCACCACGTCCCTGGGCAACCTGTGCCAGTGTCTCACCACCCTCACAGGAAAAAAACTCTTTTCTCATATCCAACCTAGACTTCCCCTCCTTCAGTTTGTACACATTGCTCCTTGTCCTATCACTGCAGTTCCTAACAGAGTCCCTCTCCAGCTCCTTGTAGCCCCTTCTATGAGGTCTCCATGCAGTCTTCTCTTCTTCAGCCTGTACAACCCCAACTCCCTCAGTCTGTCTTCATAGGGGAGATGCTCCAGTGCTCTTAGCAACTTTGTGGCTTCCTCTGGACTTGCTCCAGCAGTCCCATGTCCTTCTTATGTTGAGAACATAAGAACTGTGTGCAGTATTCCTGGTGGAGTCTCACGAGAGCAGAGCAGAGGGGGAGAATCACCTCTTTTGACCTTCTAGCCACACTTCTTTGGATGCAGCCCAGGATAGGATTGGCTTTCTGGGCTGAGATCACACTGCAGCTCATGGTGAGATTCTTTCATGTAAGAATCCTTGTACATAAAGTAGCACTTCAGAATTATGCAAGGTGAAGTTCTCTTCCAAAAATCATATCAGTACTTCTGTAATTAGCTCTAAAATAAAACAGAATGCAATTTAGCAGCAGGATGATCAGTTTGTGTGATGTTTTCTTTCACAGGTTACAATCCTGGCAAAGAAGTCGGTGTGTTCATATTTAAGCCTATTGGTGAATTCCAAAGATGATCTGGCATTGGCTCATATTCTAAATGTGCCTGACAGAGGACTTGGTAGAGAAGCCTTCACTAACCTGAAACATGCCTCACAGAAGAGAAAAATGTCCATTTTCCTGGTATGTGTATCAAATGATCTATGAACGTAGAATATGACTTTAATCTCCTGTGCAAGGTTGGCATTTGCAAGCCAAGCATGGTGGCATTTGCCACCACGAACATGATTTTCAGGCAAAAAGACACAACAGATTCTGCGTGAAGAAATGGATGTTTTCTTGGTCGTGAGATCTAAAGATGCACAGAAGTATAATTGTGTGCATGTGTACCTTTAGAGTTCTAGAATGGGATCTTGAACAAAAGGCATGGAAATATTCATCCCAAATAGTGACTGACATCCTGGAAATGTTTGCTGTCTTAAACATGAATACAAGACATGCTTTTATTTTTGCTTTTAAAATATTTTTGGAGTCTTGGTAAATCAGGTGAAGTGAGGCCATGAGTATGCATGTCAAAGACTAAAGAAGAAAACGTGATGTTAAACTAGATGTTAAATGCCTCCAAAAGCAGTTGTGGTGGGTTAACCCTGGAGAGGTGGCAAATGCCAACCAAAGCCACTCTGTTACTCCCCTCCTCAGCTGGACTGGGGAGAGAAAATCTAACAGAAGGCTTGTGAGTCAAGGTAAGGACAGGGAGATTGTTCAGCGGTAGTCATGGGCAAAACAGATATGATTTGGGGAAAAATTATATGATTTCTTGCTAATTCTCTGTTCCAGGATTAATTATTTCAACTCCCAATGCTCTGTTAACATTGTATAAAAAAGGAATGTGTTTGGACTGGATTTACTACCTCTTCTTCACAGTTCCCAGAGGGGAAACTTCTCTACTGTGTAAAGAAGTTTTCTTTTCTGGCACCTGTGTGTTGTAGAAGTCTTGCAAACCTAAAATGTTTTCTATTGGGAAGGCAAGGTCCTATGGACAGCCAGAGGAAATTTTTAGCCCAAAGACAGGAATACCGGCAGGTTTACTTTCCCTGCTAGAGTAATACCACTTTTACTCTTTTTCAGTCCTAAGAGCTTTATGACTTAGCTCTGTAGTCTGAAATTAAAATTTATGTATAGAATTAATATTGCTGTGTCAGTGTCAAACATAGTGGATTGTTATCTTTTCTCTCACCTTTCTGGAGAACTGCTGAGGTTTTTGTTCTGACCATTGCCATAAAACCCGAGGGACTGTACTTTAAGGTACACTACTTTTGGGACATCTCTCGTTTTCTGAGTCTTGTAGCATAGGGGCCTGAAGTACCTCCTCAGTTCAGGAGGGATATTGAGGTGCTGGAGCAGGTGCAGAGAAGAGCAACGAGGCTGGTGAAGGGACTCAAGCACAAGTCTCATGAAGAGAGGCTGAGGGAGCTGGGGGTGTTTAGCCTGGAGAAGAGGAGGCTCAGAGGAGACCTTCTCACCCTCTACAATTCCCTGACAGGAGGTTGGAGTCAGGTGGGGGTTGGTCTCTTCTCCCAGGCAGCCAGCAGGAGGACAAGAGGGCACAGATCCAAGGTCTGCCACAGGAGGTTTATGTTGGATATTAAGAAGAGATTTTTTTGTGGAGAGAGTGATCAGGCATTGGAATGGGCTGCCCAGGGAGGTGGTGGATTCACTGTCCCTGGAGGTTTTCAAGATGAGACTGGATGTGGCACTTAGTGCCATGGTCTCGTAACCATGGTAGGGTTGGACTTGATGATCTTGAAGCTCTTTTCCAGCCCGGTTCATTCTATGATTCTATGACTATGAAATATATGGAAACTTCCAGAATTCAGTATCTGTGATGATAGAAGCCTTAACTGTCATCATTTGTCAGAGGATTTGAGTATAAATGATTTTTATTTGCATCTCTGAAAATACACATAATACTGAAGTCAGCTTTCACATGCGTGTATTAAAATTGTCCTTGGGTCACAGGGAGCCCTCGGAATAGCAGAGCAGTTTTGGTGAGGACAGTTTGAGTACTTAAACAGAAGCAATAACAGAACAGTTCCAGACCCTGTTTTAGTAAGTTTTTTTCTAAGCTTTCTACTGGCTAATAAAAGTATCAGGTTATAGGTCATTTTCTCTTTGGCTTGTTTGTTGGTTTTTTCCATACTGCTGCAAAATTTAAGTACTGATCTTGCAAGTACTTATAGTGAGATGTACAGAACTTGCCTTTAAGAGGCCTTGAAACCCATATTTCCAGTCTGGATAAAGCCTTGAGCAACCTGCTGTGGTGGGAGGTGTCCCTGCCCAGGGCCAGGGGGTTGGGACTAGATCATCTCTAAGGTCCATTCCAACTCCTAAATTCTATGATTCTCTAATTGTATTGATTTCAGAATTTACTTGTGCTATCAACCAGCCGTTAAATGCTCTTTGCAGATCTCTAGGAGAGGTTCAGCTCACCATGCAAACAGTTCCATGTCTGTCTATGGCTTCATTTTTCTGAATATTTCTCCTGATAGATGGCAACATCCTTTATTCGAACCATAGAACTTGGAGGAAGAGACTATGCGTCGTCGATGTACGATCCTTTAAGACCCCATGTCAAAGGGCTTTCTGACTTCGTTAACTTTATTGACAAGCTGCAAGAAATTGTTGGTGAAACCTTAGATCCAAGGTAACGGATTTTCTGTTCTGTTTTTGTCTTGTTGAGCACCTTTTCCTCTGGTGCTTGTGTCCTGATGAGGTGGAGTGAAAGAAAGTCTAATAGTTTACTTATTAAATAATTCAGAGCAATGTGGCTAGCAGGGCAAAAGAGGTGATTCTTCCCCTCTACTCTGCTCTCATGAGACCCACCTGGAATACTGCACACAGTTCTGGTGTCCTCAACATAAGAAGGACATGGAACTGTTGGAGTAAGTCCAGAGGAGGCCACAAAGTTGTTGAGAGCACTGGAGCACCTCTCCGAAGAAGACAGGTTGAGGGAGTTGGGGCTGTTCAGCCTGGAGAAGAGAAGACTGTGTGGAGACCTCAGAGCAACTTTTCAATATCTGAAGGGCCTACAAGGGAGCTGGAGAAGGACTCTGTGTTAGGAACTGCAGTGAAAGGACAAGGAGTAACAGGTTCAGACTGAAGGAGGGGAAGTTTAGGTTAGATATTCGGAAAAAAAATTTTCCTTTGAGGGTGGTGAGACACTGGCACAGGTTGCCCAGGGACGTGGTGGCTGCCCTGATCCTGGCAGTGTTCAAGGCCAGGCTGGATGAAGCCTTGAGGAACCTAATCTAGTGAGGAAGTTTCCCTGCCCAGGGCAGGGGATTGGGACTAGATCATCTCTAAGGTCCATTCCAACCCTTAAATTCTGTGATTTATGAAGTGTTTGAATTAAGTCTTATTTTTAAATAAGTAATTAAATCCCAATTGAGCTAAGCATAAAGGTTGTTGAGGCTATTTTTTTCTGTTATGCTTTTGTCAAATCTCTGTCCTTGTGGCTGTTTGGTGATTTCCCTAGTTGTAAATTAACTTAGAGATTTTCATCTCATGAGTCTGGTAAGTACTTAAACTGATATGTGCTTTGCCTCCTGCTAGTTAATTACTTTCTCTTTGTCATTTCATTCTGTATGGCACAATATGACACTCCTGATAGCAGGAGAAATGGAAAGGCAAAATGAACTTTGGTAGTTTCAAGGTGTAGTCACTGAGCAGAATGAACATTCCTACAAATCTCTTGCATGTTGGAATAGTTCAAGTTTGTCTCTCCTTATTCTCCAGATGTCTAAGATTAGAAGAAATTACTAATCTTGCAAGAATCCATAGCATGTATATTCCTTAACATTTGGGGATGCTCTAAACTTTGCAATGCTAAAGCTCTGTACATATAAGACTTGGATAATGGTTGTGCAGTAAATAGAGAGCTTGAATGTTCTATTTTTTTGTGCCTGTTTCTTGACAAGGAACATATCAAAAGCAAGTGATTATTATACGCCTCAGGATCTGAAAACTCTTTCCTGTTAGTATTAATGGAAAACTAATCCATCATTCTAGAAATTCTTCTCTTTTAGGCCAGGAGAACTTAATATTACTGGAATGACTTTTTTCAAGTTCCTAAAGAAGTGTGTGTGATTTAAAACTGAATGATAAAGATTTATTTGTCATATTGGTCCCTGCACTTGATGGTTCATGTCGTTCGTGGTGGTGGTGGTGGGTGTATACACATAGTTTAAAAGTCCCCGCTGAGCTTGTTGAGTAGCAAAGTTGGGAGATTGACAGGAAATCCTCTTCTGGAGTTGGGCCCTTCCCTGGCTGCTAGCAGTAACCACTTGGTGGCAATATCACACAGCTCACATCAGGAGCTGGTTCAATACAGTGTGTTGTTTCACTCAACCCATTGGAGCGAGCGCTTGCAGTTCAGGTCCCAGAGCAGCATTCTGCAGTCTCTTGGAGCAGTTACACAGCTTGACTTGATCATGTGGATTAGTGCATTTAGCTTTCCCTTCACAGGGAAAATGCTGTTTCTTATGTGTTGCCTTTGTGAAGCTGTGATTGCATCTGGAGGTTCAGTAGTATTTTGGGACGGCATATTGGACTTGATCTGGGCTTGTGCTTGGAGTGAATTGGATAGTGTTCTCACAGCCCTGGAGTTTTGTGGTCTAAAGTTGCTGGAAAGTTATGCAAGTGTATGCAAAACATTGTATATAGGATTCCTTAAACTTGGGATTGTAGAATAATTCAGGTTGGAAGGAACATCAGGAAGTTTTTGGTCCAATATCCCACTCACAGCAGGGTCAATTATGGGGTCAGCTCAGGTTAATCAGGGCTTTATTCAGTCTAGTCTTGTGCAGTCTCCATCCTTGGAGGTTTTCAGTCTCCCTCTTGGCAACCTGTTCCACTGCTTGTGTTCTCATGGTGAAAAGTTGTGGGTTTTTTTCTTTATACTGAGTTAGGACCTCTCTTGTTTCAATTTATGTGTATCATATCTTTTATTGTCACTCTTTTATTGATCAGCATGAGGAGCTTGGCTCCATCTTCCTGGCTGCCACCTTGTTGTAGGTATTGGAAAGCTGTTAGTAAATCCCCCTGAAGCTTTCTCTTCTCTGGACTGAACAAGCTGTTCCCTTAGCTGCTTCTCACAGGGCATGTCTCCCTGACCGTCTTGGCAGCCCTCTGCTGAACTTGCTCTAGTTTATCAGTGTCTTTCCTGGACTGGGGGCCCAAAACTGGAAGCAGTATTCTAAATTTGGTCCAACAAGTGCTGATTAGAGAGGGATAATCACATTCCTTAGACTACTGGCTACGCTACTGTTGATGCAGCCAAGGATACTGTTGGCCTTCTTTGCTGCCAAGGCATGCTCCTGGCTCTCAGCTAGCTTGCTGAACATACAGCAAGACTCCCAGGTTCTTTTACATAGTGCTGCTCCCCAGCCTGTAGCATTGCAAGGGGTTGTTCCTTTCCAAGACTTTGCATGTCTTGTTGAATTTCATATGGTTTCTGTCAGCCCATTCTTCTTGTCTGTTTAGGTATGTTTGCATGGCAGCTCTGCCCTCAAGCATATTGACCATCCAATTTGGTGTCATCCGTAAACTTGATGAGCATGTATTTTTATCACTGAGTCACTGCCAAAGATAATAGGGAAAAAATGTATTTCAGGATAGCCCCCTATGGTGCTTCATTGTTACTGACCTCCAGATAAAACACAGCATTTACTACCTTCTGAGGTAGATCATCCAACCAGTCTTTAACCCAACTAGCTGTCTGTCCATGCAGACTATGACATTCATACTCTATGTTCAGAGTGTACTCTGACAGTGCTGAAAGCCTTGCTGCAGTCAGGGTAAATGGCACCCACCACTCTCCCCTAGTCTGCAAAACAAGTCATTTTATTGTAGGAGGCAAAAGGTTGGTCAGGGAGAATTTACTCTTGATAAATCCATGCTTACAGTATGGTGAATCCATGCTTCCCAGCAATCTCCTAGTCCTTCACATGCCCAGAAATGTTTTCTCTGAAGACCTTTTGCACTATTTTATTAGGGAACAAAGTGAGGATGATGAACTTGTGGTTCTCGAAACAGTTCTTTAGGGTGGTGGGTTTTTTTGGTTTTTTTTTGGTTGGTTTTTTTTTTTTTTTTGGTTGGTTTTTTGTTTGTTTGTTTGTTTGGGGTTTTTGTAATGATTTGCTTTTCTCCGTTTGTCAGGGACCTCCCCTGGTCACCATGACCTTTCAAAGATGGTACAGAGTGGTCTTAGGAGGGCATTTGCCAATTCTATTAATCCTCTTGGATACAGTCCATTTGGTCCTAAGGTCTTGTATGGACTCAGTGCTGTCAAGTAAACCCTGGTTGGATCTTTATCCACTGCTGGCAGATCTCTTCTGAAACTTTCTCTAATCAGAGGCCTGGGAGGCTGTGTTGGTGAGGACTGAGGCAAAGAAGGTATTGAGCACCTCAGTTTCATCTGTGTCCACTTTGTTGTAACATCTGCCTCAGCAAAGGTCTCTCATTTTCTTTGCTCAGCCTTTTACCACAAAAGCAGCAGGTGAAGCTGCATTAACATTCCTGGTAATTCTCAACTCCAGCTGAGCTTTGACTTTCCTGGTAACATCCTCAAACCTGTCCCTTCTTCACCATTCAATGTAAGCCTTTTTGCACTGAAACTCAGTCATCAGTTCACTGTTCAGCCAAGCTACTCTACTGATATTTCCACATCTTTTCCTAAGTATTTTGATGGACTGCTCTTGTGCTTGTAATATTATTATAGTCTAATATAATTAATATTCTATTCTAATTAATAGCTTCTTTGCTTTTTAGAACTTTGTCTCATGGGATTCCATGGCTGCTTATCAGGAATCTTATTCTGGGAACAATACTTTATAGTATATAGTTATAGTAACTTTGGCACCAGGCTTGGGTAGCATTGCTTACTGTGGAGAATATGAAGAGCCACTCTAGTTTCTTCCACCAAGCTAACAGAGAAATTTTAGCCAATATAGTAAAAGCAGCAGCAGCAACATGGAAAGGTACTCAGGAGCACTGGTTTTTTTTTTTTGTTTTTTTTTCTTTTTTCTTTTTTTTTTTCTGTGCTTTTATTGTGCATCTAATAATTGGCAAAACTCCATCCAGGGGCATAAGAGAGTCTTCAGCTGGTAGTGACTTCTGTAGGGTTAAAAAAGTTAAGGGTAATAATGCAGCCATGATTTGAGATGGAATTTCTGAGTTCTGTGAGTGCTTTGATGCAGTTATTTTTTCTTGTGTAGGTATGTTTAAAACCTAGATAAGTTCACTGATAGGATCCTAGTGTTGAAAATGTGACATGAACTAATAATTCTTTTCATTTTTGCATATAACATAACTAGAAAAAAAGCACATTGGATTTGCTTTAAGGCACAGTTACCACTCTCTTAGGAGCGTTGTATGTTGTGTTGTTTCCTAGGTAGATTCCCAGGTAGATCAAGCTCTAGTTGACATCTTGTTGCTTTGTGTTGGAGAACAGAATTATTGCTGCTCTCTTCCTACAGCTCTAAATTAAAAAACTGGATATCTATTGAGTTCCTACCAAGTTCTAAAACATCTTATAAACTCATAACAAAGGAAAAAGGCTCTGACCTCCTCCCACCCATTGGGTGTTTGTGGTTGGTTTCAAGACATTTGTTCCCACTGCCTAAGTCAGATAGCTGTATATTTGTC